TTTTTTTTTTTTAGTAAGTTGCACATTTTTTAAATGTATATTTAAAATAAAAATAAATATTGCATAGTTGTGTCAACATGCTAAAGATGCTGAATTAAAATGCATGTGTCACCTTCGGGAGGCTGGGCTTGGTCTTGCAGTTCTTGTTTCTCCTTCAGAAACAGAGAAAGTTTGAGACAGAATGAATACGAGTCAGAATCAGAGCTGAAGTGTGCGGCTGGGGTTCAGACTCACATCAGGATGCCCTGCGCTCGCTCCAGCAGCTTATTATTCACCGAGTTCACGAAGATGCCCTCCTCCTGGTGAGACGGGACGCGCTCGCACCTCCTGACACAGACGGAGACACGCATGCCTTACACTTACAGCAGAAACACCTGCTTTTGTGTTTTACGCTTGAACTGACCGCGGGGTTCGCAAGCTGACCAAAACCTAGTTATTCATTAAAGCATACAAATACATATTTATTTATTTATTTAAATTAAATAGCAAATAAAATACTTAATAAAGATGGAATAATTTATTATATAAATATAATTATTTTCTACATTAAAAAATGTATTATACATATTTTAAAAGTAAATTTAGATATTTAAAAAAAAAATGTTTAATGAATATTTTTAATAAACTATCTATCTATTGAATTATTATAATTATTAATAAATATTGAACATTAACATTTTTCCTGATGTCATTTCATAAAATCAATTAGCCGCTTAAAGTTGTGCATTTCAGTGACTTTACCATGTTTTGTTTTTAAATTGTGGTAAAATCTAAAATTTTATCTACAATACCGCAATCACAAATTTCTGTGTTTTAATTGCTTTTCTGCTATAATTAAAAGTTATTAGTAAATACATTTAAAAAAAAATCTTTTTAATAAACAATTTAGATATTTTAAAACTTAATTTTATGTTTTTTTTTAATTTATGTAATTAAAACAATTAATATTCAATTTTTGATAAATAATTTTAATAAATACATACATTTTAATTTGTTTTAAATGATGCTGACATTTTTTTTTTTAGCTATAAAACAATCACAAATTGTGGTGCTGTATTTGTTTACCTGCTATAATAAAATTCATTAGTAAAATCAATAATACAATTTAGTTATTTATAAAGCTATTATTTAAATGATTATTTAATAAACATCACATTTTCATTTTTGGGCGAACTATCCCTTTAAATGATGGAAATATGAAGTGAATGTTTGAGGGGTTTGTACCTGCTCATGTTCTCGCGGAGCGTGTTTGTTCCCTGCAGGTCTGATAGTGGAGTGCGTGGACTCCTCCGGCTGATGCTGGAATCTGACAGACAGAGAGGAACACAAACAACTGAGATCATTCAGATAAACCAGTCACACATGATCCAAACTGAAATTACTGCAATGAGACCAAATTAAAGCCTGTTTACACAAATATCCTGGAAGTCAAACAATAACCTCATCATTAACAGAACCATAACAAAAACTCTTTATGATGATGTCAGATCGTTCTGATGGATTTTTGGGGAGATCATTTAGTAATTTTTATTGTTGAAGATTCATTTGCTGTGACGTTCCAACAGTTTTTATTTTTATATTTTACGTTTTAATGTTTAAATTTATAGTTTAGTATTTTTTTGTAGTTTTTTTATTTTAAATTTTTAAATTTTACGTTTTCATTATAATTTCAAAGTTTTAGCAATTTTGTTGTGTTTTTGTACTTATTATTATTTAAATTTTTATATTTTCTGTTTTTATCATAATATCAGTTTAAGTTTTAGTAACTTCATTGTTTTATGTAAAAAAAAAATTGATATTTTCTGTTTTCATTATAACGTCAAAGTTTTAGTAATTTTTGTTTACATTTTTTTTTACATTTTTTATAGTTTCCATTTTAATGTTAGCCAAAGTTTTAGTAATTTTTATTAGTTTATAGATATAAATCTTTTAATAAATTAAGACATTATTTTGATAAATACATTGACAAATTAATATTTACTGAATTTATTCAGTAAATAAACATTGTATTTTTTCATGCTGTAGTTTCATAAAGTCAATAAGCTACATTACAATGTCTTTACCATGTTTGGTTTTTAACATTATGGTAAAATTTTAGTTTGCCTGCATGTGACCACGTTATGACATTTTTAAATAATAACGTAAAATTTCAGAGGGACAACAGAGTTTGGGAAATATCTTTTATTTCAGTTTATTTTTAGTTATTTTAGAACATCAAGTTAATCAAGTTTTTTTTTTTTCAGTTAATATTTATTTTATTTCAAGTAACAAATATTTTTGTCATCTTACTGTATTTGTCATCTTTGCATCGCTGCAGGATCTCAAGGCTCCGCTGGTGAACAGGATGATGCAGGAAACTGAAGCTGTCCACACTTTTCTGATTCTGAACCGGACCATCAGAGCCTGGAGAGAGAGAGAGAGAGAGAGAGAGACATAGAGAGACATAGAGAGAGAGAGAGAGAGAGAGAGAGTGAGTAATGTGTCTCATGAATGTTTTAGTGTCGTCGTCTGCAGTTGTTGTTCTCGCTGGTCGAGTGATTCTGCAACAACAAACACTTTAATAAAACAACAAAGCACATGTTCACAAACGCATGTGATAAACTATCACAACTGTGTCCGCGAACATCTGACGACAACATATAATATGCTATAGAAATAGCTGAGCTGCAAATAAAAAAGTGATTATTTATATTTTAAAATGCTTACTTGTATGTTATAAATAAATAAGGTACATGAAAATGTTTATGTATATTTTCAGAAAGTAAATAATAAACAGTAAATACCTGTGGTTATATTTTATTGTTTATTGTATATATATTAAAAAAATTAACAGGGAAACTGCCGCAAATAATGTAAAAAAAATAATGTATTAAAAATATATATAAATTAAGCAAATTGTATGTTTTTGTGTAAATTTACCTTTTTAAATGTTACATTACACACTGATTTTTTTTTAAATGTTTAAATTTTTTTTAAAAATTATAAATGTATAGATACATTATTATTTTTTATTATTTGTAATGTTTTTAATTATTTACAATTTATATAATTGTACTATTTATAAAAGAATTATTTTTATTATTATTATTAATAATAATAACCTTCTATTTTTATTGTCATTGCTTGCAAACAACAACAGCAAAAAAAAAAAAAACATTACATTAAAATTACATTTAATTTAAAACGAAGCATTGTGAATGAAATCACAGGGATGCTAAGTGTGTCAGCATCTAAAACGCATTGTTTCCAGTCTGCTGTTCTTCTGTCTTCATGCATGCATATTTTAATGTCACGAGAGCGTTTGCATCGTCTCCATGGCGATAACTAATAGAGAAGTGTTGCATCATGGGTAGTTAATTCTTGCGCATGTGATTGTGAGAAGCGTTTGTGAGTGTTTGAGTCTCACAGCTGCATGACAGGATCTGGTTTATAATGACACTGTTTCTCACCGCTCGTCGTCGTCGTCTTCTCCTTGTGCCGTTTCCCAGCTTCTCTGAAGGCGACGAGCGCTCGGAAATAGGCGCGGATCACGGCCCAGCGGAAGGTGGCCACCGGATCGATTCCCATCAGGCCGCAGATGAAAGCGTTTTGGCTGCTCTTCAGCAGAGCCACGATATCCGGACGCATGTGATCCGTGTTCTTCTCCCTGAAGTCCTGCAGACACAACAGACATGTCATAGACAGCACATGCATGCATACTTTATATATACAGTGCCCCCCACTGATATTGGCACCCTTGGTAAATATGAGCAAAGGCGGCTGAGAGAATAAATCTGCATTGTTTATCTTTTTGATCTTTCATTAAAAAAAAAATCACAAAATTCTAAACTTTCATTTGAAGTAAAACAATTGAAAGTGGGGGGAAACTCACATTACGAAATAAATGTTTTTCTCCAATGCATGTTGGCTACCATTATTAGCACCCCTAGAAATTCTTATGAGTAAAATGTCTCTGAAGTATATTCATTCATATTTACATTTTGTAGCACACCAGGGTGACTGAAGTTATTTATTTTCACAGCCACCTTTGCTCATATTTACCAAGGGTGCCAATATTAGTGGGCGGCACTGTATAAAAGTAGTATGCTATTTCAAACCAGGGTTAGCTTTTTGTCACTAGAAATAAAATAAAATATAAGCTTAAACATATTTTATTTCAGTTAGTTGACTACGTACACTAGGGACTAGGTAGAGTTGCCACATTTGTCCTTTTCATTTTGTTAAACTTGAAATAAAAATGAATAAAATGATATAGACATTTATAAAAAAAAAAGACAAAAGCACAACGGTACTAAAACTTTAACTACAGTTAAAATGAAAACAAAAAATATAAAAATAAAATCTAATTCATAATATTAACAAAAACTATATTTTAAACTAAGCAACATTTGCCATTTTCATTTGTTTAACTTGATGCAATAAAATCACAAACTGAAATAAAACATAATAAAATATAACAATAATAATAAAATGAAACAAAAATAAATATACTGAAAAAATACTACTAAAACTTACAAAAACTCACGACAAAATAACTAAAACATCAGATAAAATTAAAACAGAAAATCTAAATATAAAAACGAATTAAAAATATCATTAAAAACTGCAGTACTATCTCAAGGATACTGTCACGGTTGCCTTCTGGGACAAGACGAAGAACGAGGAAATAAGGATAAACTCAAAACTACAGTCTTTAATAAACAATCTAAAAGGGAAACACAAGGCAGGGCGAGACTCACATGAAGCACAACTTCGACGTATAATACCCGACCAACTCAGATAACACCGACAGGAACTTAAAAGGGTTAGTTCGCCCAAAAATGAAAATTAGGCTGTTTTACTCACCCCAGAGCCATCCTTGGTGTATATGACTTTCTTCTTTCAGACGAATCCAGTCGGAGTTATATAAAAAATTGTCTTTGATCTTTCAAGCTGTTTAATGCCACTCAGCGGGTGTTGCCCGCTGAACACAGAAGCAGTTCCGGGCGGATGACGTATGAGGTC